AAAAGAAAAAAAACAAGAGCAAAAAGGTTCGTACAGATAGAATGTAGGGCTATCAGACATAGGTCCTGATAAAAAGGTGAGTTTTTCGTTTGGATTTGAAGGGATGGAAGAATTTCTCTCTTGCAGAATCTGAGGAAGGGCACTCCATAACAAAGGAGCAGTGGGAGAAAAGGCACGACACCAAAGGCAGAGATTTAGTCCTGGATACGTCTCAGTCTCAACTGAACTGAACCTATGGGAGGGAGCGTAAACGTGGAGGAGTTCAGAGATGTATGATGGAACCAGTTTTTTTAAAGCCTTTACAGTCAGTAATAAGATCTTGTATTGAATCCATGATTTAATAGGCAACCAATCGACAGACTTCAGTGTAGGAGTGATATACTGCCAAAGTCTGGTCAGAGTTAGTACTCTAGCTACAGCGTTTTGGACAAATTGCAACAGGGGAGAGTGTTAGGGAGCCCACAGAGTAAAGAACTAAAGAGCGATAGAGCTGTGTTTACTAATCAGCCATCATGCTCTTCCTCTCATTACATTGTAACACGTGGTGTCAACTGTACTTTCTTAAAGCAAGAAAAATGATAGAAGTTTAGAAAACTGCAGGTTGCCACAGGAATGCCTAATGCGCCGAAATTTAGGAATAGATTTCTACAGCCAGTTTCAGGGAGATGTTTTGTTTGCTGAGCAACCAATGTGTGCTGCACGCAAGAACATGGATTTACATCCTCCGCCCCGAGTACATACTGTTTACAAACAACTGTAGAGGAATAAAGGAAGATGTCTGATGTATACTATAAACAAAAAGAGAAAAAAAAATTAAAAGATTTGAGCACAGACACAAGTACATGACATCATCCCAAGAGCGAAAAGAACAAAATGGCAATGCTCTGGACAAACTGAGTGACGGATCATTGCTGGACTAAAAAAATACTTAACTGCACTGCAAAAAACAACATTCAAGCAAGAGCAAGATCTTGAAGGACAGATGAAATCACCTGAACTCCATGCTTACCCTTCTATGATGCATTTGGCCTCTGGGTCCTTTATGTCCTTTAATCCTTAAAAGGAAACAAAAGTCTCTTTGAAGGTTTGTTTAAGAATACAAAATACACATTCAGCGGGTCTAATAGTGACTATTATGTTTTACTTTGTGGCTGATATGCTTTCCAGTTCTCGACAACTTTATCCAATGATCCAGTCTTCCCCTCAATCAATTCTGTTCGTTCACACTTCATGTTCTGTTAGATCCAGTCCAGTGTTCTTAAACGCTTTTGTATAATATTAACATATTAACAAGCATATCATCGGATATACATCGATCCCCCGTTAAACGAGCACTTTACTAACGAGTACTCGCTTAAACGACCGGTGCGTATATATGCCTATTTTTCTTATAAGAAGGTAACTTCCCTTACAAATACGAACTCCAAGCGGCTGATGTCGTCTTATTTTGAATATATAATTTATAAAAAAAGAGTATTCATTCACGAATATTAATATTTTATACATTTAATTGTTTTATTTTGATGATGCGCACTATGCACACTATGGATATCACCAGTTTGATGCTCTTATTTTCAGGTACGGGTTTTATTGTGTACTGACTGCCCAATATTTATTTACTAACATAATATTTTTTGGTTTAGCAAGACATTTTGGTTAGTTTATGTAATATTTATTGTTCTTGCGTACTATAGGGATCATGGAAATTTAAATTTCTCTACATAACTAATTAATAACACACTTCCAACAGAACAGGTTGCATATAAAGAAGTGTGGGTAAATTCTGCTTGTGGGAACATACATAGAATTTTGTTTATGCTGTCAAACTATTCAAATACACCATAAAAGTACCTGAACTCAACATGTCCCGTTACAGTACGTGAACTTGAAATGAATCGGAGACTTTTACATGTATTTAATGGGAATTTAAAGTTGCTTTTTTTTTTTCGCCTACAAGCAGAAATACTGGAGCTCGTTTGGCGAGGAATGAGTGTACAGTATACACAGTATATATTTCTTCTTAATATGGCGTATACGATTCTGTGTAGCTATCAGTGTGTAAACATTCTTTATATTACCTTTTTAACAGGCAAATTGAATATTTGACATCATTTTTGATCGATTTCTGCCGATGTTAATTCAGTGAAAACAGAGCAGAGGAGAAATGAGAGCACGTCCAGTCAAAAGCAAACCTGCCACCCCCTGTTGCAGGAGAAAACGTTACTTAAGCTTCATCTTCTTCATTGCGTCCTGTCTGAATATCCTCATCAACCTATGGTACACGTTTGAAGTCTGAAAACTGTGCATTACTAAGCGACAAATAACGATACAGAACATGGAACACGAAACAGAAGAAAACACAAGAACAGAATAAAATATAAAATAACACCAGAATGACACCTCCTGCATCTCCAGCGAACCGGGGGGGAGTCGGTGCAACCCAGAGAAATACCATTAGAGACTGGGGTGCTAAGCACTTTGACTGGTTATTTTCTTATACGAGGATGTGACCCATCGATAAGAGGGTATATACAGTATAGTGTTACTAGCCTCCTGATCAGTGGTCTCCAGCCTCGCTGAGCAAACTTACTGCCCTGCAGGTGCGGAGACGGCGCCCCGCCGTGTTTCCTCCGCGGCGGATGGGCGCTGGGCTTCCCCGCGGCCAGCCTCAGGTTAGCCTGCTGAATGTGCTGGCCGAGCGCCCCCAGCCCCTCCAGCAGCTGCAGGCTGGACGGGCCGCGGTCCCGCAGGTCGCTGGCCGCGGCTGTCGTCACCAGCTTCGGCATCGCCACCGCGCACAGGAGCCGACACGCCCGTGCAAGAGGCGGGTTTCATGCCCCACGCTTATCCTTCATAACTCCGGCCGTCCGTTTCTCGATGCACCACTACAGCTCATCATCTGTTGCGCGTTAAATGTTCTCGTTGGCAGACGTACCGGCGTGTTTCCACCGGCGGTGGCTATATTTATTTATCTTTTTACATTGACAGCCTTTAAACCGGGCTGTCAACCGTACCTGCCGCCGGCGGCGAACACTAACCCACGCTCTCACAGGCGGACATTGGTGTTGCTAAGCAACAAGCAACAGGAAGTCAGGAGTGGGAGATCAGCCCCTAGGCGCATGCGTGACGTGATTTATTTGGTGTGGGTATTCCCTGTGTACAGAAAACCAGCAGTTTTTCTGACTCTTTTTCAAGCCGTAGTAGGTATAGGATTTAAACAGAGAATTGTTCAAGTTAATTTTGTATTCGGGTTATTAATTTAATTGATTGTGTAATCAGTTACTCAGAAACACGCAGGTACGTGCCCAGCACCTTGTTTGTGTTCTGCGTTGGAGGTTTATTCCAAGTCGAGCCATCCTTCATATTTTTAAATTTAAATGACCTTTTAGCTGACTGGAATTGGAAAATACGCAGTTCAGATTTTTTTGCGTCAAAAATGTATCGCGCTTTGCAGGGCACTAAACACATTTTGAAATCCAGTATCCACGAATATAAATCATGTGCTCTGATCACTGCGTACACGTAGAATAAAAAAATGTTTTATTTATTTATGGTCTTCAAACAGTGGATATGATTTTACGTTGCTCCAGCTGAATCTTGTATCTCCAGTTCGGTGAAATTTCGAGTGCATATACGTTGAGTTGCTGCAACTGCAACTTTAATCATAAAGTTGCAGATTTAAGATTAAAATGGCAGATGGAGATAAATTAAGAAGACATTTGGTCCTTTCATTTCTATGCGAACTCACGATTAACAGTTGGAGGCGTTAATTCCAAAGTTAAATTAAAATAAGAAGGACCTGTCAGTTCATTTCCAAACAGGATAGTCCTGCCGTCTCTAAAGCGTAGCTGTTGTTAAATTAAACTATTAATAAACACGTGAAATTTCCAAACACTTTTTAGTCATATGTGAATTAATGCCAGTACTGCCAAAACGTGAAAAGCAATAAAAGCCATTGAGTCATTATTTTTCACCCATCATACATTTTACTGCAGTATCATGACATCAAAAACTTAATCTAACATGGGATCCATCTTTGATGTTATTTTAGTTGGCGATTTAATAAACGGGGGATTGCAAATATCTTTTCTTTAATCTTTAAGTGCTAAGACTTGAAACAAAAATCTGCTTTTATTACACACTGTTTTGTTGCCCATATACATTAAAACTGTTCAGAAGGCAAGAAAAGTTAAATATAAATTTCATTTCTGCTTCAGTGGATAATGCTTGACAAGTCCAGTGCAGGTATTTGTCCCTCTAGTATGTCATCATAACTATCCTAGTGAAGCTGAGGTTTCCTGGGATTGGCATTTGGGTTTCTGATGGCCTGAGCGATGCATTTTCACAGTTGTTACACAATTGCTTACACTTATAGAACGCTTTTCTGGACACTCCACTCAAAGCACTTCACAGGTAATGAGGAACCCCTCCTCCACCACCACCAATGTGCAGCCCCACCTGGATCCACATCATCCACAGCCTTTTGCATGCCAACTGACAATACAAATATGCAATTAGCTTGGAGACGTTGGAAAACGGCAGCAAGGGAAGGTGGCTTTTTAAAATATGTAGTCACTTTACCAAACTTAAATCATCCACTTGTAGAGGGTTTTTCCCAACAAGAAGAAACGTTCAAAATGCATGGGAGAACGTGAACAGAGAAGCGAACTGATGATCTGGACAATGAAGAGGTGTGTGACCCGAGCCATCACTGCACTTGTCTGGACGATAACATTCATCCGACGACGCTCATGGATACACCTTAACATCAGACACCAGCGTGCAAGCAGCACAGCAGAGGCCGATTAGGAATTGAGCTTGCACTCGTAGACCCAAGTCCTCCTGAGCCAGTAGATCATTAAGTTTTGCTCCATTGCCTCACTGGAATTACCAATAGCTCTTCTCCTATTTGCATGTGTAATTAAAACACAATTGACATTGTAGAGGGATTGCTCTGAAAATCCCCCACAGCCTAGCTCAATGGGCAAATACCTAGCCATCCAGCCATACCTGGAAATCGACCAATCCCTGGCACTTCGTCCTCCTTCTAAAGCAACGTTCCCCAGGACCGACAGCTCAAACGTATCTAGCTGCATCGCTGTCTCAACAAGTACAATGCCTGGCCTTGGAGTTATTACCTTTGAACTGGGAGAACTGTAAACACCTTGCCAAATCTCCTGCTACCTGCCACTCCTTCCCTGTTGCGAGGAGACCTTATCTCCTTTGCCTTAATGTAAGACAGCTGTAACAAAAGCAGCGGCTTGTGCGGCAGAAAGTAAATGTTAGCCATCATCAACTCTCAAGCGTTTCTCACAAACAAAAAGAACAAGTCAGGAAACGTGTTGGTCAATGTAGAAAATGAAGACACTCAATGAGCAGATACCACATCTCTAAGATTACAAAATGCTTGTGCCTCTATTTCCTGGTTTAGGAGGAGGACTTATTGAGCATCGTGTGTAGTGATTGGGTACCAAGAAGAATATGAAATTAAGCTTCATGCACAATTACTCAGAAGGATTGAACCAGTTTCCCCTGTCTTAATTCTTCATGTTTTGGGGCAAAAGCCTCTTAATATTTGTAGTCCCACAGCATCTTTTTTTACTTTGTATTTAGCTACCTAAAACTCACATGAATAAAGCGATACATTAAGGTTACATCTGCATTTCATATTGGACACTACTCCAATCCATGCTATAATATTGAATCCACAATCAAAAAATTATTTAAATCCACAAGGTGGAGCTCTGGCTTCAAATTGCAAGTCTGTACATTAACAAAGATGAGATCCTATATCAAACACAAATGGTGCCATCACTCGATTTTCACTAGTTGAATAGGTTTTTCAGTTTTTATCTACTTAACTATTGCTTGTGATTTGTTCTCAAAAACACGGACATGTCACAAATGAATCAACCCCAGACTTACGATTTTTTTAAATTTTATTATACAGAATGATGGTTTGGGTAGAGAACAATCTGTGGAACACCTGAAAAAGAAGAAAAAAAAACATTTGTTATTGTTAATGTAACAAATAGTAAACAACACTGCTGTCATAATGTTAGCACCTCATAGGCTAGCAAATTCTGGCCTGTTCTGCACGTGGAAGGGTAAACCCCTGTAGAAAATCAGGCTGGGTGTAGCACTGGACCATACTTACTAAAACCTCTGTCCCAGTTTAACACGTACTACTGCTTTAGGAGCAGTTATCCTTCAGATAACATGACATGAAAATCTACTACTCTGGCATTAATGGTCACACAGCACTTGGAAAGTGTAGCTGTGTTCTTGCTAAATTCCACTTTGGCCTTTTAGCACCTGGCAAATCCTCTTTTCCACTTTATGGTAAGTTAAGGGCTGCCATGCTTCACACAAGTGCTTTGGAATTCCTTGGAATAAGAAGTACTACAGACACTCAAATTTTAATTATATGGGGGGAAAAAATGACTTTTTATCTTCAAAATATACAATTATTAAACCCATTCAGGATGAAATACATCACACTGTCCTTGCCAGAGGAATTAGTACCTGGAATATCAGGATCATTTACATTATTCCAATTCACCTTATTTCTTGATCAATATTAGCATATGGTTTTTATCAGCAAAAAATTAGTCTAAAGACCATTAAAAAAAGTATAATCCTGATGGGCCCCTGGTGAGCAAAAAAAACACCTTGACTAAATCCATCAACCTCATTACTCAACACAATCAAGATAAAGAACCTTTGTCATATTGAAAATTGTCATATTGTCATTGAAAAATATTTTCAAGACAACATTTAATTCTCTTTAAATGCATGTCAATCATTATTAAAAATATATAAACAATGTTGTGAGGAACAACAGTTTCAGTTTTATATCCTGAACCCACAGAATTTGAGTCACATACTGTTATATAGAAAACAATACTTTGTCCAGAAAAACAAAGGACAAATACCAACAATCAAGTCAATCTTGGGAGGTCATTCCTCCACCCACACGTCACTTAGCCTTCACACAGACACCCCCGTCTACTCTTGACTCACACCAGTGCTTGGGAGAACACAAGCATGTTGAGAATTAAAAAAAAAAACGTGCCAGAGCTGAAACTTTAGTTACAGATGCCAGAAAGACCAGCACAAATTAAGCACTGCTAACAGATTACATGTTTAAATTTCATGAAGAGGCAGCCTCCATTTTCTGTCCTTAACCGACCTCCACAGTATGACAGAAACTAAGTACCGTTTAAATTTTGTAAAACAAAACAAGGATATGCTGACATTTCATACTGAAATCCCGGCAAAACAAATCATGTACATTGTTTCATAGCAGCCTTGCATGAAGGCTACAAGCACGACTACAAATACCACACAATACACAATCCAGTTCCTATTGATGCTCCCTCCCTCTAAACTAGTGTAAATCGTTGATAATCCTACAGAAATGGACTCCAAGGACAAAAACATAACACTTTCTTTAGAAATTCTATTAGAATGTGCTCATTTCTTAACTTTATAATTTGAGCATTTCATTTTAATACTATTGGCCACATTACTGCTTCAAGCTGTGCAGTCAGAAACTATATCGCACTTACAGTATAATGCCTCCAGTTTAACTAAATACATAAGTTACAAACAAATTACATATGAGAGAACACCCTTCAGTGCATCAAGCCTATTGGGCAGCTAACTGATCCGAGAATCTCATCCAACTGTTTCTTGGAAGAAGCCAAGGTCTCAGCCTCAATAACATGGGTGAGAAGTCTTTTCCTTACGGACGCAATCCTCTGTGTAAAGACATGCCAACCTTTCTTCCACATAAGCATGGTCACATCACCAGTGACCCGTTTCACTATTAATATTCTGCACTTTAAAGGTCATCTCCCAGGCGTCTGCCCAGTCTTCAATTCTAACTAAAGCTCTTTAGATTTCATTTACTGTCTCTACAGTGGTCGATAACTCCCCCGTTTTGGTACCGATTAGTTTAACGACAACCTCCAATAGTTTACTAACTATACCAGAACCTAGATAGCCGACAAATTAGGAAGAGCAGTATTTAGTCTCAGTATAGAACCCCATGGTACTCCACTAGTTAAACTGCCCCAACTGAAAGGCATTCACCCCCTATTTGTTGTTTTCTATGAACCAATATGTATTCTTTTATTAAGCGATCAGAGGTCTTCCTAAAATCTAACTACACTGTACCTATATTGTGTCAATTACTGTTGCTCATTAAAACAACTTTAACAAGTCAACCAAGACTACCAGGTGGATGCTGCACATTGGTGGTGGTGGAGGGGAGTCCCCATTGCCTGTAAAGCGCTTTGAGTGGAGTGCCCAGAAAAGCGCTATATAAATGTAAGCAATTATTATTATTACCCATACCCTAGTATCTAATTTCCATATAGGTGAACCTATAGCTAACGTAGTTTTCATAACCTTATACGTAATAGGGATTAGACTTAATATATCAATTACTTGGTTCTAATGGATAGGCACTACATAGGCATTCTTGCAGTCAGTGGATACTATATGCGTCTTGAGACTATTGGAAGAGTTGGCTCCTGAAAAAAATTGTTCACCAAGTCAATGGTTCACGATTTCAGTCCCAGTGACCCACACACCTGTTGGGTTTTGGTTCCAGGTGAGCCCTCAGTTACACAATCAAACCCTTCACCGACATAAGATTAAATGTGAACCATTTGTTCCCATCTCTTCAACATATTGGAGGTTTAACCGACGTACCTTTAAGTGAAATAACACTCCTTAACTTGTGACTAGAAACAAAATGCAATTCGGACAACGAAGTAACATCTTGGATCCATTAAGGCTTCAATGATCTAATTAAGGTGAGATGGAATGAAAACCAGCAGGTGTGTGGTTCACAAGGACCGTGGTTGGGAACCACTGCCTTAAATAAAACTGGAGGCCATCAGGCCCTGGGGATTTATTCAATCTCACGTGCGTCTGGACACTAGATTCGTCTGCCTCTTTTACATTTAATGCAGAATGGGGTCCTACCGCCTGAGGAATGTTGCTGATGTAGTATCAGACCAGGAAAGCAACGACCACACAGGGTCCCAGCTGCTGCCCGGCACTTCCAGTTCCACAAGTAAAGCAATGCAAACTGACAAACAGGGCACGCAGATCGTGACACCCGCAGCCCAAGCAAAAATGTTTTAATGTCAGAAACTGACGATGCATTGCAAGGACCGGGACGATTCTGTGCACGAGAGTAACCTACGTAGTTCGACGTCTTTAAATCACAAGTGCAAGTTTAAGATGTTTTCCAGCGATCAGCCATGCGCCTCACCGTGCATGTTCAGTTCATCCTGCGAATGAGCCTGTTGATCTGGTCCTCTCGGTTGCCAGCATCGCCGCCCTCCACGAAGTGCGTGGTCTTCTTGTTCATTCCCCCGCGGGGAGAAGACAGCTTGAAGGGCCACAGGAAGTTGTTTGCAGCCTTGAAGTTCTTCCCAACCGTGTAGATCTCGTGGATTAGGTCTTCAACACAGATGATACCATACTGGCCTAAAAGATGTCAGAAGAAATGTAAAGACTTTGTTCTACGGAGAGCTGCCTCCAGTGCCAATGCACGATTTACAAATTGTACGAGGTGAATAAAAACCTTACAGCACAGTGCTACATCCAGAATTAAGGGCGATTCTCATTATTATAGAGTATTTGCATATTTTGTAAACTGTATGTAGCTAAGAGGCCAAACCTCTCAACTCACAAAACTCAGACCCTTTGTTTCACAGAATAATTTCAGTTAATCCAAATGTCAGTTTTACTGCAGGCCTGTCGTTTTTTCATTTCTCTATAAAATATTCACTAAATCAACCCTTGCAGTAAAACACTCAAACCAACTGACCACTACTGGAGTGCAAGATGGTCTGAGCGATATACCCACCCAGGCTCTTCTCAATAAGGGCGTTGTCAGTAAGGGCGATGCGCTGCTTCCTGATCTTCCCATAGCCACGCTTGTAGACCAGCTCAGTCACAGACTTCAGATTGGGATACCTGAAATGACGAGACTGCATCAGACCGCAAAACCCCTCTATAAAGTTACCAAGGGGTTAAATTGTGTACATAAACCAAAATGATCTTAACGGAAGAGATTTCTATTTTCCCCAAATATTAACAACCTGTATCCAAGGTCTTGAGTCTTCCCCGAGTTTAAGCATCTGGCTGGGAGGCCTGTACCATGTACTTAAAACTGTAAATAAGTGACTCCTAGACCCTGTTGCTAAATTAATTTTCCTACTATTTTCAAATTGTGAGACTGTTGGTTGTTTTGCTTCTTGGTGTGAAATAGATCTCTGTGTTAACTATCTATATTCCTTTGGGTCACATATACTTAAATCCAATATCTTCTGTTCTATAATGAAGAGATTAAGCTCCCAGTAATGACTATAACTCAATTTGAGCTGGGTGACTAATCTACCACATGACATCTAAAGGTGCCATTGCTTACAGCTTGCTTGTTAAATATCACTGTATCCTCCTTCATGCCACACATACTTCAGTTTGTTCTGCTAGGTCACTGTTAAAGACCAGACAACAATGACTGAAATTTTATGAAAATATAAATTTAAATATCTGCCTCGCACAAACTTTTTGGCTGCTAGTGTCGGTTTCAGTCCGAAAAGTTATTTACGGCTGACACCTGCTTTCAATTTAAATTTCTACAATATACTGCATTTTTTCTCCAATACACATCTACTCCCAATGATACATAACTGTTTCCTGCTATTAGTTAACAGACAAAGCCAGCGCACATTCAGGTCTCACTGCCTCAAGCTGAACAAACCAAATAGAGAATTTCATCCTTGTCTTTCACCTTTCTTGGAGATGTAAATGCCTTCAGAACTGCTGCTTTACAAGCTACATCACAGTAGTAGGACCCTTCACTAACATTTATGAATATGCCCCTTAATGTTATATATACACGTATCATTTAGGAATATACCCCCACTGAAAAACAGCAAATGGCTCTGCAGTGCCAAAGACCATTAAGATTCCCCCATTTTTATTTTTTCTTCAAACCAGATAAGTCAATTGAGGAAATTTTCATTTACAGCAATGGTTTGGAGAAGACCCATCTCTACAGCAATTCAAGCAAAGCAGCTTGCTTGCATTCAAGGGTATGACAGCAGTGTTCCAACCAAGATTTGAACCCTCATCCACAATGTAGCACTGTTGCCACACAAAAGATAAGACTCCCAACAAAAGCCAAGAACATCATTTTCCCCACAAGCCAGTCTCCAATCGGAACCAAACCACCTACGTCTCTGCAGGCCTTACCCCCATGCGATGTAGGGCTCTGCAATCCTCAGCATGTTGATGGAGGCCTTGTTCAGCTTCACAAACACGCCGTTGAAAATCTGACGAAGTCGGAGAAGCTGAAGCACCTTTCGCACCTTGGGGCTGACGCCGTTGATGCTACAAGTTGGCAGATGTTAAAAAAAAACACTTAACAAACCTCCATTTTGGGACTTAAACAAAACATCTGTTCTGCAAGCGTGGTTTCAGAAGATTGGCTTTAAGTCAGAACTGCTTCACCATGGTCGATAAGATGGGGAAAAAAGTCTTAACATCATTAACCACAGCCTTACAAACATTATACTTTTCCTCCAATGTTGATTTTCAATGCCCACATTCTCAAGAGTCCTTTGCCATGTTTAAACTCCATTTCGCCCACTGCCTTACCCTCTGATCCTGATGACGAAGGCTAGTTTGGGCTCAGCAGGGACGTAGAAGTTTCCAACCTTGCGGGCCATCCTAGCCATTCGAATCTCATTCCTGTACATCTTCCTGTACTCCCTGTGGTAGAACTCAGCCCTGCTGTAGATGAGCCTGCGGGACTGCCGCCGAAGCTTTGAAAGACAAGAGAAGGGGCGAGTGAGGCAGACATTCTCCACTGGAAAGTGATGGCAGGCATGCTGCAGCGCGCATAAAAAGGGGGATCTTGAAACGTCCAGACGCCTTCACCCCGAGACGGAGGTTCCCAATCCTGGTCCTGGTGACCCACACACCTGTCAAATTTTTGCTACAGCCGATCCCCCGGTTCACACAAACCTGTCAACCCTTCTTAAACACGCCAGAGCGTCAACCGCGTTGCTTGTCAAGAGAAACAAAATACTGAGCTTGTGACGAGAACCCAAATGCTAATATTCCACTGAAGCCACTTCTTAGATCCATTAGGGCTTCAACTACCCAAGAAGGAACGAAACCCTTCAGGACCTGGATTGGGAAGCCCCAGTCTGAAAGACTGTGAGACTAACAGAAACTAACATGCAATTCAACCCGTTACAAAACCCTGGGCACAAACGAAACTATTTAAACACTGTAACATCAGACGGTTTCATGTTTATGTGGGTACACATTGCGATACTTATTTGGAGCAAATACACTACAAGCTCAATTCCTGAGGAAAGTGAAAGACAAACACGTTTTCAGAACAGCGCTTACGGTCTTCTCAGCCTGCAGCTTCTTCAGGCGGTGAGCCTTCATAGCAGCGAAAGCCTTTCGCCTTTTCAGGAGGCTTTCAGGGACCGATGGTACCTTCTTCCCTCTAAAAATAAGAAAATCAAGTTACAGTGTGCACTACCCCCCGTACTCCAGCACAGAGAACAACCCCCTCGCACGCTTCAGAAACAACAGTCGAAATTTCCACGACTCTTCTCCGATTTTAGCCATCACCCTTGTGGACGGAGTCAAAATCCACATACACGCGAGAACTTCAAGATACTCCATTTAACGCAGCGTTTCAAACACTATTCAAGCGGAATTGCTGCGTTAGAGCCGTGTTACAGAGGGAACCTGCTAGGGGAACACAGGTCAACTTAAGAAATCGCTCCTCATAAACCGGGCCTACCTCGCATCCTGGTAACATTATGAGACACGTAAGCACATAAAGATGATTTTCTGAAAAACACAATGTTCCTTGAAAACTCCCTGGTGGACAGATGCAATTAAACTAAAAAAGCTTCCCAAGTAATATTTGTGCTTTATCCGTTCACGCATCCAAACGTTAATAATACACATGGTTATTTGAAGCAACCGTTCTTTAAGTGGACATTCTGTTATACAAACACCCCCATCTTTAATACCATGCTCAAGTAAAACGTAGGGGTTTTATTTGTAAATTTCAAAGGGATATATAATTGGATGAGTACTGGTTTAGTGGATGTGAGCAGATTACAACCGGAGAATAAATTCCCACTTACTCTTCACCCGCCATTGTCGCCACCGTAAAAGAGGGAGGTACGCATGCGCAGTGCGGACTTAAAGCCGGGGTCCGGAAGACCACAGAGGAAGTGGTAGCTGGCTGCGTGAGTGCCTCAGTAATTTATTTTTCTTACAATTTAAAAACGATTGTAGGGCATTTAAAATGTCCCCCTTTTTAAAAAAAGGACTAAAATTAGCAAAACTGTTCCCTAAGTGTGTGTTTTATAACTGTCGGTAATGCATTTAGTGGCGTTGCGCATGCGCGGTCTGGACATGAGGCTCTAGGATTCCCATATCGTAGCGACTTTTTAACTGCCTGAATACTTTTTTTTTTTTTAAGGGCCGCTAATTCATCAAAATCAACTAGTGATTTCTCGGCATGACGTTATTTTCCTGCGTGTGAGAATACATTTCTCGCAGCAGAGAATGTAGGGATTCTCTCTGGCCTCTTCTTTTTGAACTGGCACGTCACGCCCCCCCCCCCGCGAAGGGGTCCGGCGGCAGTGCCAGGCAGGTTTAAAAGGCGAGAGAGCGGCCCGAAAATGTTCAGAGGGCTGAGAGTCAGTGGGAAGAGGAGGCTGCAGGGGGGCAATAAGCGAAGGGCGGGGGTACTTGCACAGCGGTTCATCCATACACTGGAGCTGGGTTGTACGCTTCTGCGGGCAGGGAGCTGTAGGGGATTGTAGTGGCACGGTATATAGCACAGGCGGGAAGGTAGCAAGTCTCTGGGGGGAGGTCTCGTTAAGTTTCACTACTACTTTGCTTTTTGTTTGCTGCGAATTGTTTCTTTGGCAGTGTTTTGTTCATTTTTTTCCCCCCCTTTTGCTTCGGCTCGGTTAATGAGAAGCTCACTGTTAGAAGGTCGGTTTTCATTCTCTCCCCCTCCTAAGTAAAGCAGCTCAGCTTGTAGTTTCCCTGTCGCAAGAAGAGGAACGTTTTAGTTAATCTTGGTTAACTGAACCGTGCACTCGCTTATCTAGACACGGCTTTTAGGTTATTTTTCAACACGGGGCTCACAGACCGTGTCCTCGTCTGTGGTTTTTTTTTTTCTTTCCGCGATCACTTTCTTAACCACTAACTTGAGATCGGAGTCCTGAAGAAAAAGTTTAGCGCTGGATCCCGAGTTCAGTCACAACGTTGTTTAGCTCTTTTTTTGTTTAGCTAAAAGGCAGCTCTAGCAGTCGTAGCGCTGGTGCATATCCAGGCGGCTTGCCCTGTCAAAATCTGTTTTGTAACCGGAATCTAACTCGCCTTTGCTAAGGCTGGTCTCCCTCCTCCTCCTCCTCCTCCTCTCCTCTCTCGCTCCTCAGTTTTATTTTACTCTGCGACGCCCGGCTCCCCCCAGGTACTTGCTTGCTCCCACGCCGGCCAGCATGAACATCGTGGCGGAGTTTTTCTTGGTCACCTTCAAGGTGCTGTGGGCTTTCGTGCTGGCGGGGCTGAAGTGGCTGGTGCGGCCGCAGGAGAAGAGCGTGGCCCGGCAGGTGTGCGTGATCACCGGGGCCGGCAGCGGCCTCGGCCGGCTCTTCGCCAAGGAGTTCGCCCGGCGGGGGGCGGTGCTGGTGCTCTGGGACATCAACAGCCAGGGCAACGAGGAGACGGCGGAGATGGTCCGGCAGATCTACCGGGAGCTGGACGCCGACGTGCCCAGAGACGGTAACTAGTAACCCGCCGCCGTCGTGCTGCGAATCTGCTGCACAAACGGGTTTTGTCCCCTCAACGGGCCAGTAGTTGTCTTTTTTTTTTTAGGACCGATTAACACTCGGGTGCCAAATTAGTACGCAAGGGAGGGTGAGGGTAATAAAGAGAAGCCTCTGGCTTTTTTTTAAACACAATTATGACCAGGTGAAGTAGCAGGTACTTTTTCTTGTCGTTTGCATGCGATGAAGTTTCGAGAGCTGTGACTCCCGCTGGTAAGCGGTGAGGTTGTTGTAGTATTGGTAGCGGCACCTGGTACCGTTAGCCGCACTTTGCTGCCAGTGGCGTCAGTGCTACCAGGGTGAATATTAAGCGTGTTGTCGATGCCCCGAATGCTTAATTCGATTTTAACCCCCTTTTCCCTACATTGCAATGGGTACTAATCGAGAGGTGTCCCTTCCCAGGATGTCTCCAGACTCGCGCTACCTTGGGCTTCTAGTGCTGTTCGTCAGGACGCGAACCCCAAATTCCTTGATTCGCTCGAAATCTCATTCTCGACTTAAAAATGAGATTATTATTATTTTTTTAAAACTAGGAAGCGTCTCTACGTTGCCGTTTTCTAACCTGGAGAATGTGGAGTCCGGGTTTGGGTTGCACTGTAACGCGATCGAAGACGGAGCCGCGGAGCCTGAAGTTTTTCATAGTCTTAACGTGACATAATGCACCCTTTACATAAGGGTTTTTACAGAGCTGGGTGCTGTCCAGCTGGCGCCGAGGGGGACGGACTGGCTATGCCTAAACTCCATGTGGAAATTGCAGCCTCTTGCGACGACATGGGAGTTGAGCTCCCCGTTACGTAACTCGGCTCTTGGCAGCACAGTTTCTCGGTTTCTCTCCGTTACCGGTGGCAGTAAGTTATCTTGGTGCCAGTAAATATGTGTGGTGTTGTACAGACCGCTCGGTGGCCGTTTTCCAAACGCACGGGGTTGGTTTTTTTAAATCTGTTTTATCCGTACCCCGGATATAAATATATATATATACGCACATAGCAGAATGAAGTGCCGAGTGGATCTCTCATTGGAGCAGATCCGAGGTCGTTTTAAGGTCGTCACTATAGCGTTGTACAGGGCAAAGTGCTCATTTAATTGATTTCCAGAAAACGCGAGTTTCCCCAAATTCTAACGCATCTGATTTTTCATTGGGGGAGGGCATGAAGGAAATCTGGAGGGCAGCGTATAAAAACTAAGATGGGTTTTGAGTTTAAAGGGACGCTTCTGTCGTGGGGGGGGAGGCTTATGAAACCCGAGGTTGACCAAAACGGATTCTGAACACAAGTGAATGGAGGCGTTGCTGCAGTTAACGAGCACGGTCACTCGGTATCTTTGCGAGGCGTGAAAGGCGGTCCCGCGTGGTTCCCGGCCGATTAAACCCGGTGGGTGATGTTGCCTCCCCGCTGCAGGGCCCACGGGCGGCGTGGAGGAGGTCCCCGCGTTCCAGCCGAAGGTGTACACCTACGTGTGCGACGTGGGCAAGCGCGAGAGCGTGTACCTGACGGCGGAGAAGGTGCGCCGGGAGGTGGGCGACATCGACGTGCTGATCAACAACGCCGGCGTGGTGTCGGGCCACCACCTGCTGGAGTGCCCCGACGAGCTCATCGAGAGGACCATGATGGTCAACTGCCACGCGCATTTCTGGGTGAGTCTCCCCGGCTCCTAACCAGCGGGGTACAGACCCGTTAAGGACTGCTTAGTTTGACCCTACTGACGCCGTGTTGCTGTAGTCGCGA